TATAAACTAATTAATTATCAAATAAAATATTGTTAACTCAATTATCAAATAAAAGAAATATTGTTAACTCAATTATTAAATTCAAGTAATCTTCAAAATAGAAAAATGAAATAAGGAAAAAAAAAATTGTGTGATCTTTAAATTCAAAACAAATATGGCAATGAAAGAGAGATTGATGAGAGACAATGATGTATGGTAGAAAATTTATTTTTGATACTTTTCAAACAAATTTTGTTTTCAAATTTTTTATTCGAACCTACATACAAAGCATGATATTGTAACATGCACCAAAGACTAGAAAGATGAAAATCAAAACTACATACATATAAGTTCAAACTCGAAAACTCACATTTCTACTCCACTCACCAGTGAATAGCTCAATGACGCCTATGAATGTTTTTACTTTAGAGAACGTAAGGATTTAACAAAACCAGTCCCTTAAAACTAAATTATATAGTAAAACTAATATGATTCATTTGAAACTGGTCCCAACTTATTTATTTGGCACAGCAAATGGAAAACATAGCACGAGGCCTCCAGGACCCGCACACATTCATATGTACTCTACCGAGAAAATCCCTAATCCACAACAAACATGGTAACTTGCTCTTCTTGGGCCTAGAAATAATAAGAAAAGCATTAAGCATGTGGGCCTATTAGTTCAGCACATGGATTTAATATGTGGGCCGTTAAATCACCTCACATTCCACATTCATTTTCAACTAGTGTGTACCCCATGCGATGCACGGGAACAATATTAAATTAACAATATTATAAATAGACTTCGAGTTTGAGTCACTCAATGACGGAAGTGAAAACTACTATTGATCCTATTTAAAAAAAGAAAAAAAAATAATTATATATGAAAGTGGAGGATAAACAATACTTAATAATTATAAATTAAAGATTCGGGGTCAAACAATGTAAAATTATTTTGTATAAGAGAATATAAAAAAATTTGATTACACACCATTTCAAAATTATTATTATACTTTTTAATATGGTTAGCTTATAATATTTGTAAAAATATTAGTAATTAGACCGATGAAAATTAGCTTCTTAAAGTAGATAATGGATTTCTAGTAGTAATTATGAATTGGTTTCTATTTTATTTTATTTTTTCTTTTTAAAGATAATGAATTTCTAGTAGTAATTATGAATTGGTTTATATTTTATTTTATTTTTTCAAATCTGTATAGATAAGGGATGAGATTTTTTAAACACACGTATGCAATGAGAATTTGTAACAGAAGAAATAAACTCTTGTAGATTTATACTGAAAATAGAAAAAAGAAAAATAAATATTTATTGTCAAACAACGGTTTTGATAAACTAAAAACCAGGAAAAAGAGAAACAAATCTTTACACAATTAATGAGCCGATTTTTTTGCCTATTCAGATTTGTCCAACAATTACTATATGTAGGATATATTTAATGATTTTGGCGGGAAAAAGTTTCTAAATTTGTAAAAAGATTATTCTTTTTATATAATGATAGATATTTATCAAGAGAGGAATTGGGAAATACTTAATATAAAAAAAATTGTTCCGTTTGTGATTATATAAAAATATATCCGGTCAAAATGAATTTTTTTGGTTAACTAGAATTAATTTTAAAAAATTAGTTTGGTTAATTGTTAGTTAAATTTTAATTTTATATTAAAATAATATTTAAAATAAAAAATTAAAGTTGATTTGATGTAAAAGTAGGAGAAAGATTATATAAAATGATAGTTAGTCAAAACTATGTGAGTGATTGAATAGTAAATTAAAGTTGATCTGTGATGTGTAAGAATGATTAGTTTGTATTATTTAATTACATTGATAATATTGAATATAGTGAAGTTGAGTTAAAATTGATTAAATTTTGAGTATGAATTGAGTATGGATTGAGTTTTTGATTTACAAATACACAAAAATTTCTTTGCATTTGCATATTTATGAGTTTTATTTTATTTTTTTATTTTGACTATGCTAACTTTTACTACCTATAAATGGTTAGTTTATAGTTTTATTGTAATCACTGATTTTAAAATTGATTTTTTTTTTCTGAATTTATTAGATGGTTTTAAATAGTTTATTAATGGTTTTATTTTGAATGTGCTATTTTTATTAAAAAAAATTCAAAAAGTACAATAAATATATAAGAGGATATTTAATATCACAGAATTAGTTTCGTTGTTTCTATGAGCTTTTGTTTCTCTAGAGATTTTGTCCAATAATCGAATATATCATATCTCGGCTAGTGGTGTTAGGCAGACTCGGGAAGTGCTAGAGTGGGAGCGGGTTCGGTTGTCCCTCCGGTTGAGGTGGGTTGTTTCGGAGTTTGGTTTGTGTTCGGGTTCGACTTCTTGTATAGGCCTTGTGGCAGTTTCGGGAGCCATCCCTGGAACTTGGACTAATCTTTGAAATCGACTGTTCTCCGCTGGTTAGGCCGGCTGATTTGCCGTGGAAGGGTTGTGTGTGTGTTTTTTTTCTTTATATTGTTATATGATAGGTTTGTATTTTGGTTTGGGCGTTTTGCCTGTGTGTCGATGTCTTGTATTTTTGGTTTGGGCCGTTGGTCCCTGTGAGCCCGAGTGTCAACTTTATTACCCTGTTGGGGCCCGACACTTGGATATTACCCTGTTGGGGTATTTGTGTAGTTTTTTAGTGTTTTGTAGTGTTTTTTAGTATTACCCCGTTAGGGTCGGTTCTAGGCGGTCTTTTGACCTGTCCTCCCACTTTTTCAGCTATTGGCTGCTTGTATTCAGCTGTTGGCTGTCTGTAATCAGCTGGTGGCTGCTCTTTGCACATTTGTGCGTTTTATATAGTATCTCTTTCGTTCCGTAAAATAAAAATGTTTCAAAATTCCAATTTTTGGCATCATTATTAATTTATTATGTTCAATCAAATAAGTCTTAGATAAAATAAACGTGTCACCTACTTGGATTGATCCCAATAATATTATATTGTATTACTAGTTTGTTCTCGGCTGTGCATAGCACAGTCGGGCCCAATTTGTATTATAATTAAGTACGTAATAAATTAATAATCAAGTATGTAATAACTTTGTAGCAGGGGCGGACGCAAACTCGCAAGACTGAGGGGGCACAAACATAACTTTTACAAAGTGCAAAAAAAAATGATATTTATTCTCTGCATGTACTTATATATATGTCACTCATAATTACATAAATTCAAATCTCATTATATATATTTTTTCAAATACAAACATTTTTTTTTTTCTTTTGCATTGGATATTCTTACAACGTCAGCAGTCGTGAACTTCTTTATAATAAAGATAAATATTTTATTAGTTAAAAAATTAATGCCAAACCTAATTATAATTTTAACAACACCTAAAATTCTATATGTATCAAAATCAATATTGACTTTTGTGGAAAATGGATGTAACTCCTTTATATATGTTGCCTACAACACAATACAAATACAAAATATAAATAACATAAATTTAAAAAAAGTATCTCTATAATTATTTTATAATATAATTATATATATACTAATTTTTTTAAAAAAATCTACACAGGGCCGTACGGGCCCCTGCCTAGGTCCGCCGTTGCTTTGTGTTTCCAGCATGAGTGAATTTGTTCATCACTACTCTTGCCAAAACCTATGATCGCGACCAGACGACAAAGGAATACTTTGTAGTTGAATGCACTCCTAAGACGACTTCGTAATATAATTTTTCAAAAGAGGTGACGCCATGTGCTGATTGACTCCTTAAGACGGCAAGTATCTCCAGTCGTCCCATTTGTTCGAATACCTACAAGAAACAACTCGGACATTTCACTCCGGAAGGACAAATCGTATAAGCCCTAGAAAATAAACAAAGAAGTAAGAATGACGAAGGAAATATGAAGTGTGGTCAGTACTCCATTTGAAGTAGTTTATGGCCGTGCACCCCTATGCTTCATCTTTTTATACCATGGGAAGTGAGAACACAATCATTAGCAGAGGATCCTCGCAGAGATGAGGTCTTGCGCTACTTGCGTTTCCAATTGGACGTGCTCGAGAATGCATGATTAGTGAAGAGAATAAACGTGGTAGGAACATAGAGTTTGTATGCGATAAACTGTTTGTCAAATTTCGTCCTTTTCTACAGCGCACATGTTTTCAAAACATGAACACTAAGTTAGCACCTCCATTCTTTGGTCGTTTGAGGTTGAGGCTCGTATTGGAGCAATTGCTTATCGGTTGAAACTGCCAAGTGCAACAAGGGTCATCCAGTCTTTCATGTGTCCTTGTTAAATGCTTCGATCTGAATTCCGTTGAGCCTACATTTCAGAATGACTGATTAGGAGATAATCCATTATTTATTTCGGAGAAGGTGCTAGCTTGACGAGAGACTGGGTGCAATGGGGCAATGGTTCCAGAAGCTCTAATAAAATGGGTTGATCACGGGGATAACGATGTGGTTTGGCTTGACACTGATGAAGTACGTGGCCAATTCCACAATTTCAGCCTTAGGGACAAGGCTATTTCCGTCCAGGCAAGAGTTGATAAAGACCAATTTCTGAAAGTTTATTCGAGAAGGCTAAAGTGGGCTTCTCTTAATGGACCCTAGGGCGTAGGCCAAACTATCCTTATTATTTAATTAATATGATTAGTTAAGTCGGTGAGCCCTTAAATTGACTGTCAGGTTTAATTGTTAAATATTAAGATTTGGTGTGTATATATTGGTTGCTAAGAGTTGGATTAGCATTCTGGAAATATTGACGTTTGTGACTGGCAAGATAGCCCGAGGACCCTTCGGGATAGTTCTTTCATTATCTATTTGTTATTGTTGCCCTTTACTCTATCATCACCATGCACATGTTCCAATTCAGGTGCATCATATAATCACACGAAGACGCTGAGGACCAAACTCAGCATTATGGTAAGTACCTATAAGAACTCGGAATATTTTCATGCACATGTTCCAATTCCTGTGCATCATCATAATCACACCAAAAATGCTGAGAACCAAACTCAGCATTATGGTAAAGTACCTTTAGGAACTCGGATGATTTTTATGCACATGTTCCAATTCCTGTGCATCATCATAATCATACCAAAAATGCTGAGAACCAAACGCAGCACCTTGTACCTTTAAGAATTCGGAAGATTTTCAAGCATATCCTGTGCATCATCATAATCACACATGTTCCAATTCCTGTGCATCATCATAATCACAAGGAAACGGGTTTCCAAACAGAAGACAATTTGGTTTTGATTCTGCCACCACATAGACAGTAAGTTACAACACAATCTTCTAAACACCTAGATAACTCGGTAATAAAACTAGAATCATCCTTTATGTTTTTGGATAACTTGCATAAAATACAAGCCTTTATTTAGAAACTTACGACGATGCAAACACTGAAAAAATACACACAAACAAAAGCAACACACCAAAACATAGTATATTGATAACGTAAATCAGTAACCAAACAATGTGCAGGAGTCCAATGCTCAGTGAGTATGAAGGAGAAGAGTACAAAATTCAGACACCGTTCGAGTCCATTCTTAGAAAGGGACCAAAATGACCCGCCATTATTAAACCACATGTAATTTGATCAAAGGTGGTGTGTGGCCTAGCAAAGACTGAAACACTCATGGAATGCTGCGTTGATAAAGAGGCAAAGCTCCAAGTGCTTCACGTTCAGCACTCTCCCTCTTAACCTGCAGTTACATTATAAACAGACATCAACTTTAGAAGGAGAAACCTGAATCATGCATAACCCACTGCAGTTACATTATAAACAGACATCAACTTTAGAAGGAGAAACCTGAATCATGCATAACCCACATGAAAATAGGACTTTTCAGCCACATTACAACTTAGTCAGAGTCCAGATTAACAACATGACATACGCACGAATGGAAGTAGTAAGACGTTATTCTTAGGCCCCTGTCACTTGTTTACTTGCAGTTAAATAAAATTTCGTATAGATAATGAAATTGTTGTCGAAACTACCAAGATATGCATGAAATCAAAGTAAATAATCAGGCACTAAGGTAACATAAAATAGTAAACACTTACAAGAGCTAGCATCTCTTGAAGATAACTCCTGAATGGTGTCTGCATCGCCTATGAAAAAATATAGAAGAAAAATAATGGTTACGGTTTATTCTCATTTCTTTCACTGAGCACCATTCTCATGTGAGCGCGACCGTATGTATATTATTCTACATGGTAGCATTCAAGGACAAATGTTTTCCGACTTCTGCTGTCACTTGTATGGTAGAAGGGATAAGGCAAAAGCCAAAAGGTGATAAAGCTACCAGCAAGAGTAGTTAATAGATATAACCCCCACCCACCCACCTCCAGAAAAAAATAAATAAATAAAACAACAATAAATAAATAGTAGTACAGTAGAATGTGGTAAGAAAACCAACTCACACAAGTGCCCAAGCGATTTAAAATTTAAACAAAACTATTGAGATTGTGAAACTAACAACTACTAGTATTCTTCCTTTGTGTTATTATTCTGTTTTTGAAATCAAACATCAGGTGAATCAAGAAAAATATCACAAAAAATGGTAAATATCAAAATAAGGTGCCGACTGCCGACGTATTAAGAACTACCTCCCAGAAAAGATGGGAAAAGGAAATACATGATGTACAGATGTTTCAGCATACAACATATAAGTACATATATGATTAGTCATTTCATCAACTGCCCTTTATATGTTCACTCAGAAATGTCTCAGTTATTATAAATTGATTCACAGCACATAAAAATGGTTGTTTTAACTCAAAAGTAGAAAATGCACTGCCTTCTTAGGGTACAGAATTTGATAGAGATTGGAAAATTGAATCATGGGAAGGGAAAGCAGATATGGAATAAAATAAGTAATGCAGTATTGAAAGCACAAATCACTGGATTTTTTGGAATCATGAGATCCTGCTTGGCGTGGAAAGCTAGCAAATCATTATCTTATATATTCTTTGTTATCCTATTATCTTACATAAATAATATGCTTATAAAAGGGGAGTGAAGAAGCGAGAATGAGGCATATAGAGAAATAATATTGTGTCGTGTGTCGGATTTTAGCTGGCCGGAAAATTATTTCCCCTGGAGAACCTCATGTTCTTGCCTTTCGTTTCTACATAACAATATTTCGATTTTATTACATCGACTCTTTACTTTTATCAATTGGTCTGACCTGCCACTACGAATGGCACATATGGAATCCCGAGTTGAAGCAATGGAGAAGGGTTAGGAGGAAGTGCTCGAGTGCCGACTCACTAATGTCGAAGAGACCATCACCAAATTTACAAAGTTGGTCACATGAATTTTATCAACCAAGAACAACATTCTAGCCACCTCCAAAGTGAATCATGCCAACATTCAGTCTGATATGGATTTAAGATCCTCAGTTACCTTGAATCATCATGCTGAAATTTTAAAAATTGGAGAATGGCTGGAAATCAGCTCTCTCCACTTCCTCTATTCCACCAATTTTGGTGCAATCCGCTTCACAGCTTGATGAGACTGCTTCTCCAATGTGCCCATAGCCCGTTTGGATCTCTTCACTCTTAATGAAGATTTCCTCATGTTAAGTAGTACCCTCACATTTCTCATATAATCAAGCCTGATATTTTTATTTTTTTTTCATGGAATATGTCTTCTCTTCTCCAACGGAGAACTGGAGGCATATAATTATCTATTCCAATCTACGTGATAAGACTCGTGGCCCCTATGCAATAATCAATGATGTTCTCTTTTACAAGGGATGTCAAGTTTTGCCGTTTAATCGGAAAAGTATTTTGCTTTTCAGCCTTGAGAACAAAGTTGTTTTCTCGCAGGAGGCCATGATAGAAATTGGAAAAGTAAATCGTGGGAAGGGAACACATATATGGAATAAAATATGTAACACGATATTTGAAGCACAAATCATTGTATTGGCTGGAATTATGGGATTCTGCGGGCATGGAAGGCTATCAAATCGTTCTCTTATTTATTCTTTGTTATCATATTACCTTAAATAAATAATATGCTAATAAAAGGGGGGTGAGGAAATGAAGAGTAGGCATAGAAAGAAATAATATTGTTCGTCAACTTTTAGCTTGGGCGTGAGATTATTTCCGGAGCTGAACCTCGAGTTCTTTTTTACTCCTATCAACAACAACAACAACAACATACCCAGTATATTATAAAGCATAATTGCTTCAGTGACTTATTAAGCAAAAAATGCCACAAAAAAGTACGAGCAACAAAGAAGATTCTTGATTATCTATCTTCCTAAGTGAAAAGCGACAGTTAACAGACATAATTATCACGTTGTCATTGCCTCAACAAATGGTCTGGTGCGATTGGATATGCTATTGTTGAAAAATTTTCCTTCCACTAAAGAAAATGCTTGGAAAAATTTTTGGGGAGAAAAAGAACAATTTAAAAGTGTAACTGGATGGATAGGTAGAAATGTAGAAACTGGATGGATAGGTAGAAATGTAATGATTAAAATTGATGTTACACAAAAAATAATGAAATAAAGAGTGGTCATTATGAATATATGAACGGAAGTAAATTTAAAAAAATGGGTAGTAATGATTTAGTTTTATTAAATCTAGTATTGCTAAAATTGAGGAGGGAAAAGGTTAGATGAGTTAATAGTGTACACGAATAGTTGAAAATTTAAATATCCAATCACACCTTACTACAAGTCTCTCACCTTAGCACTTATTACACAGCATTTCCGTCAAATATTCTTAATTTCTAATGCACATGCGACCAAAGTAACGATTTTCTGCACAATCTTTTCCCCCACAAAAAGATATACTATTAAATTAGTTCAATAATAACTAACCACCGTTGCAACTGGTAAATAGGGTAACTTGCTCATACAATGGCAAAGGAGAAGAACACACTCCTACAAGGAGATAATTAAGCCATTCCACAAGGGGAAACAAGACACACCACAAAACTCAGGGCACAAGCAACAACCACACAAGACAAGCCAACGGAAGCTAGTTCTTCTATAGGTTAAGCTTCTCTCAAGAGGCTCATACAGAAGCACAAAGAGAGGATAAACCCACTATTATCTCACCCAAAAGAGAGGATAAACCCACTATTCTCTCACCCAACCCAACATCTACCAATAATTCACAGTTTTCTGAGCAACCGAAAGCAGCCTCATGGATCCCTATACTCAAACATAGCCTACAATAAAATAAACAATTCTTGATGCTACTATATTAGCATTCAGAAAAGAAAGATAGCATTTGCACACACCCCCTCCCCCCGAACACACACACACACACACACAAACACGCACTAAATAAAATAAATAAATAAAGAAAGAAAAAAGCTCAGTACCTATAGAGACCAATACCAAAATAAACACCCAAATCCGCAACGCAGGTTATACAAGTTACAAATTACCCCAATTCTTTCAGCACCTAACAAGAATTAGGGCTTCAAGCACCACGGAGCACATCCATAACATTGTAAATGAATACCTGGAGATCTTCTGGAAGGTAGGCGTGCTTCATGGAAAGGTCTAGAGCGCGCTTGAGACGCTGATTCCTGGCATCGACAACCTCTCGGGGAAGCCGATTCAGAGCCTCCTTCACATCCAAATCGTACATTGGGTCGTATAGATCGTCATATCGAAGACCTAATTTCTCGAATCACAATATACAAACAAAAAGAAGTCAGATGACATAACAGCCGCACAGAACACGCATTCTTTTAAATATACGAAAAATACCGTATTTCTTCAGGCGATTGGAAAGTGTTTTCATGTGAAGAGCTGCGAGGGGGTTGCGGTTCGGGTCGACCACCCATTTCATGATAGCAGACGCCATTTCAATGTCTCTCTTTCAAACTCTGAAAATCTCTCTCTCTCTCTGGAAGTCTATATTATCTTCCTCCGGGTCTATAAAGTCCGTTTCCTCTTTTTCTATCTGATCCAAGTTTCTCCGAGGTAGAAGAAATCCACTTTCTGATTTGTTAAAAGTATGGTGCACGTTAAAGCGTTTCAGTACATGGGCTTCACCCTCTAGCGATAATTCAGGAAGATCTCGTTCAGAACCCGATTTCTATGTTAATCGTAAGGAACTGTATATATAGAACAGAATAAATAAGATTAATCCGGTCTTTGCGTTTGGCTAATAGTTTAATCCAATTTGTCCCGTGAGTCAGATTTATTAAATTTGTAATTATTGAACATTAAAGTGTATAATGAACATTATACATGTGGTTTTCTAGACAAAAAAGTCATTTTTGTGTTGGAATAAAAATATATCACCCCCAAGATGTGATAAAATTATTCTGCCAGTCATGAGTACAGACGTGTGCCCACCTGCCACATACATGAAACATAAATTATATCAATCTCGATCTCTGCGGGTAAACAACAAATAAGATTGGTTAAGAAATGTTATCTCACTATATCCTGGTAAGTAAAGAAGCCAAAATATATGCAAGAAATAACTATTTTCACCCTCGGAATAAGTTAATACCGAATAAGTTCTTCAGACTGCTAAATAATAAGTTAATTTTTTCACCCTACAAAGTGTTAAACAAGTTATGCGATAAACTTTCCGACAAAGAGGCGCAGATAATTGTTAGAGTGCAAAATATTTATGTAGAAAGTTGTGCGATAGACATGCGAAGATAATTGGATAAAATGCGAAATAGTTATATGATAAAATATGCGACAAACAAGCGTAACATATTTGATAAAGTGCGAAATAATTATGCGATAAACTATGTGATACGCAACCGAAGATAATTGATGTGAAAAACTACATGCGACGATAATTGATAAAGTGCGAAAATACTATGCGAAAAGTTATGCGACGGACAGACGAAGATAAAGTGCGAAATATTTATGTGAAAAGTTGTGCGACAGGCAGACAAAGATAATTAATAAAGTGCGAAATACTTATGCGATAAACTATGAGACAAACAGGTGAACATAATTGATAAAGTGGAAAACAATTATGCAATAAACTATGCGACAGACAGACGAAGATGCAAAAATCTATGTGACAGACATGCAAAGATGATTGATAAACTGTGAAAATATTATGCGATAAGCTATGCGACAGTCTGACGAAGATAATTGATAAAGTGCGAAATGGTTACGCGATAAACTATGCGACAAACAGGCGAACATAATTGATAAAGTGCGAACATAGTTATGCGACAGACAAACGAAGATAATTGAGTCGAAAAGCTATGCGACAGACCGACGAAGATGATTGATAAACTGCTAAATATTTATACGAAAAGCTATGCGACAGACATACGAAGATAATTGATAACGTGTGAAATAGTTATGCGATAAACTATGTGACAAACAGGCGAACGTAATTGATAAAGTGTGAAATAATTATATGATAAACTAAAAAGCTATGCGACAGACATGCAAAAATAATTTATAAATTGCGAAAATATTATGCGAAAATCTATATGACAGACAAGCAAGGATAATTGATAAAGTCCGAAATATTGACGTAAAAAGTTATGTGACAGGCAGGCGAAGATAATTGATAAATACATTATTCATTATATTTTACGGTATATAGTATTTTATTTGTATCTGTGCATGTGCGCATGCTTAATTACTAGTTATAACTGTAGGCTATTACAGTAGTGCAATAGCCTCTATTTTCCCGTCCAAACCCATTTTCAGCTCAGTATGGTATATTTTTAATTACATATTGTAATGTTTTTATTATTTCACATGGTATTTCCAACATTTGTTTTTTTGGTAACATCTAATAAAAAAATAATTAAAATGTAAATAATCTCTCTATATATAATTAGGGGCTATTAAATCAATGCAAAATTTTTCATTTTTCACTCTTTTTTTTTCATTATGTATAGTAGCTTAGTTTTGTAATTGATATGCAAGCATACTAATGTTGAAGTTAATTGTTATGGTTGTAACAGCTCATTTATTAATTGTATCTTTTATTCTATATATTTTTTAAATAAAATGATTACAAATTATTCTACCAAAATTCATGGGTATAAAATAAAAACAATCGTTCATAAAAAATACAATTTATTGTTGCATAAGAAAGTGTTTATTTTTTATTTTTTAAAAAAAATGCCTTCATTCCAATAGTAGTAGTAATGATAATAATAATAATAATATTTAATGACTACTTTATAAATATTACAACCGTTATGATTATACTTATATTTCTATATATACAATTATAAGGAAAAAAATTTAATGCAAATATAAAACCTGTTCATTATTCAGCTAATTTAAAAAAAAAATATTACATTCTGCATTATTAAGTAATTATATTATATACTTTTTTATGACATAATAACTAATACTAATTAACTATAAGTCACACTAAATGATATATGAACGTGTATGCATATCAAAAATTCTATTTATTTTTTTAAAATTATTTATTTGATTTTTTTTTACTCCTTAAGCTTTTTTTTAAAAATTAGTTAATTTATTTTATGACATAACCAAACCACATAAAATTTTTCTCAAAATTTCTATAATAATAGTTTTAGTATTTTTTTTATCTAATTAATTGATTATAATCACTCAAAAATTTTAAAATTATACTATTGCAACCAATAGCGATATATATGTAGGCTAAATAATTTATACTTATATCATTGTGTTTATTAACAATAAAATTTTTAAAATGTAATATACTCATTATCTAACTTATAATTTTAAATATTATATACAGTTACAAAATAATATATAAAATTTTATATGCAATTGTGCGTTTCCACAGGATCGAATACTGGTAGGAGTATTAAATTTTATTAAGACTATTAAATGCCAATAAAACTCAAACTAAGCAAAGTATAAGAGAACGAATCGATATTGTGTGACTAAAGTGAATACAATATGAAAGTGGGAGGCAAAAAAAATTTTTTGGTTCCTTAACTGACCTCGTTTTTGCTTTTGGTCCCAGTAAATGTCCATTTTTGGAAATGATGCTCTAGGTGAAAAAAAATTAGTATTTTTGTCTTCTAACTGCCTATAGCAGGCCAGTGTGACCGAAGCCCACCTACATGTAAATTATTTATTTATTTATTTATTTTTTTGGTTTACTGAGTTGGCAAACTTATAAAAAAGTGACAACAAGAGGGTTCAAACCCTACACCTCTGAAATCAACAGAGTACGTTTGCCACTTGAGTTACAACATAATTTGTTAGACTACTTGACTTCAATTATATATCTATCAACATCTTTTTATCCCAAAAAATAATAATAATTCAATTTATACCACTTTTAATTATAAATTTATACATAATTTATTTATAAATATTTATTAATTACAAAAACAAAATAAGCAAATTAAATATATAAATAATTAGAATTATATTATTTACTTACCTTATTTTATTTATATTGTTTTTTATACTAGTTTATCTTATTTAATTTCAATTAAATTTTATGTATATATTAAATAAATCTTTATTAAATAAATAAATATATTAAATTTAAATATATGTTTTATTGATTTTTGTATTATATATCTATATTATTTATTAATTAAATACTAATATATTAATACTTATTCGAAAGCAAAAGAAAATTTTTATGGGAAAACAAGTTAGCATCGACAGAGAATGCACGCTATAAGGCGTGCAATATCTTACATGGTTTAAAAAGGCACGAGCATATTTGTCAACATTATCTCAGCCAGGAGAAACCAATGTTCGAAAAACTTTTTCCGGTTAAAAGAGAATGCCTGGAGCTAAAGGATAACCCGAAGAAGAAGAAAGGAATTTCAAAACGGATTCCCCAAAAGTAAAGCAACCGGCTACCTATCATGCATGATAATGGTAGGGACAAGATAAAAGGAGAAATATTCTCTTTAGAGAAGAAACGAACGAAAATCCAAATCATAAAGAGAGGCACTGGGGAGGCAACATGGACCACACCGTGTGAAGAAAGAAGTCACCTTAAATAAGTGGCAGAATAATTCAAGGACCCGGAGGAAGCAGAAGGCATCGTTCGTTCTCTTCATCTTTCTCACTAAAATAAAATCGTTTGTATTAGTTTGTAATAGTTGAGTGTTAAGGGTTGTAATTTTCTTTTCCAAAAATTTTATGTGTGTTTGTGTCTATGCCTCTACTATGAGAGGCTAAAAGTAATTTCTCTTCTCTAAACGAGATTACTTATGTAATAAATTCTCTTTGCGTTCATAATAAAAACGGAGCTTTTGCTTCACAACATGCTGCCATAATTTTCATCTATCTCCATAATTAAGTTCCTTTACGCCTAGAGTAGGAAACGAACTAAGATTATGCTGAGTGGTGTCTGAAGGAGTCGAATAACTTGTAGTTCATCTTCCCATTGGTGAAGTTAGATGATGAGGAGTCGTCCGTGAAACGAACTAAGGGCATTACTTTTTCGATTGGTGGAAATGCAACCCATCTCACCCGGAACTATTTCGGTCAAAAAAGGTGCAAAAATTATAGAATTATTTAATTTTACGGAAGCATGTTAGACCTGATATATTTCAATTTATTCTGGATACTCTTTAGAGTAAACTCAGGTACTAAGAGATTAAGTACTGCTAATTAATAAAGTATATACTTCTATTAAAGAGGTAAGATTTTAATATAAATTGGTACTACTTTTCTGAACTAAAATGTATAGAAGGGTATTGTGGGACTATTGAAGAACTATTATTTTAGTGCAATAGGAAAGTTAAGAGAAAAAAATTTAAGGGTCGAAACTGAACTTTAAGATTGTAAATTTATAAAAATAATATATCGATCTATTCGTCAGACCATGTAACAAAACACCACAAGAGCTACTCGTGTCAAATTATTATATGCTATATCCATATAGATCCGAAGACCGAAGACCGAGGACCTTTGCCACCCCATTTACTTTGAATACCTATAGTTAATACAATATAATATGTACACACTTTAAATATATACTAGTAAAGTGCACGTGCGATGCACGTGGTATCGAATGATTTTTGCTGAGTAAGTTTGTAAAATAAATTAATTTATTTATTAAATATATCATTGCAGGAATGAAATAAAATATATAACAAATGAATTCATATGTGATTTTTTTTTTTTATAATTAGCG